CTTTACAATAGCATTTCTTTCTTGCAATCTCAACAATTCAGCTTTTAATGGTGCAAGCATACTATTTGGAAGCCTTGGCGAAGGGTGACAAATTTGATCATCTGTATTTTTAACAGGAAACTCAAATACTCCCGGCAACCTACCTACCCCTTCAAAAACTTCTATATTTTCCTTAATAAATTTCTCTTTATCTTTATTTATTTCCACATTATTTATGCGCTTAATTAAATTTAAAGCTATGCATCCTGATAATCCCAACAACACATTACTACAATCCAGTACTATAAAATTCTCATAACACTCAAAATTTTTAAATTTGCATCGTAAACTTATCATCCCTTTAGGTTTTACCTTTTCACCAGCAAAAGATTCAATTTTCAAATTACATTCCCTTAACTTTAAATTTAAATTTGTATTTATTCTATTAAAAACTTTAATTGGCATGACACTCACATCTGCTCCCGAGTCCAGCTTACATTGAACACTATGTCCCTCAATTTCTATATTTTCAGACCAGGCCTTCTTTTCACCACATTTTGACTGAACAGCTCTACAATACGCACCTTCATCCGAATCAGACTCCTCACATTTGACTTCCTGTACCTTTTTCTTAACTCTGCAACTGGCTGCAAAATGGTTCTCCAGCCCACATTTGTTACATTTTTTTCCAAAAGCAGGGCATGCACGTGGTCCATGTCTTGTCTGGCAGCGTCTGCAGCTAAACTCCTTATATTTTACACCTTGTTGGTCCCTTACTTTTCTGGATTTTATTGTATCCACTAGTAAGGTTAGGGGGAGTCCGGGACAGTTTAGCAGGTGGGAGACAATAGCCACTGCTCATAGAATTTTTATGGAACTAAATATTGCGACGTAGCCACACTTCTTAGACTCCTTAGGTGCGTCCCACCTCGCTCACGCATTGCCGTTGCGATTGGTAGTTTGGTTTAGGAGTGACAAGTGATAACACATTTTCGAGCCCAAAAAGTAACTTTTTTCAATTTTCGATATTTGATTTCAGTTGTTTACTATGAATAGATTCCAGCATGTCATTTATATACATAGTAAATGTAATTATCCTAGTTCCATTTACGGTAGACAGTTTTTACTTAAGTGTTATAGTTTTTTATAAAAATGTAATAATGGACAGCTTGACCTGGGGTGGGAGACATTAGCCTGGCATCGGGAGGAGACTTTACCCAGGGTAATCTGGTACTTTTATTGCAGATAATCATCCAAAATGCCTTTCCAATATAAAAAGGAACATCTAGAAATAGGAACCATTTAGATCTGTCAGTAATAAGAAATGCTATGGGTATGTAACATTGATAAAGGAAAATTAGAGGTGTTGCCCCAGTAGAAACTAGTTTATCCAGATCAACCAGTTTTAATAGAAAAAACGTTGCTGATTTTTTTCAAAACCTCAAAGAATTAAATTGTTACACATTTTCATTCAAGAAGATTAAATTTCTTTATAGTATTATAATTTTTAGTGATTATTTTGCTTATTTTTAAACCCGGGTAAAGGCTCCCTACTTGGGGGGTAAAGTCTCCCACCCAGGCGGGAGATATTAGCCAAATATCACTTTGGTTAAAATTGTTAATTACTCTTAAACTAATAATGATGTATTAAACTTTCTTAGAAGAAAATATAGCTAAATAATGTAGCTTAACATACAATTAATAAAAAATAGCGATTTGTAAGTATAGAAATATTTATGAGCATTTTAGTGGAAGGCGGGTAAACTCTCCCGGACTCCCCTACATGCTTGACTATGAACGAGTGCTGTAAGTGCCCACCAACCTAGGCAGTTTTGTATCAGAATTGGCTAAGGGCAGTATATCAAGGGCAGTAATCATGTCCTTATGATTTTTTCAAGTTATTTAAGATTTAGTAGATTCAAGGGGTTCGCGTATACATAGGGTCAGTTGCAAGCAACCGACTCAGTCTTCCCTTTACCCGACTGGTTGGGGGTGGACCAGAGTCGATAGCAACATGGAGCCTACATGGACCGATTTGCCCGTAGCTGCTGAAGCTTGCCTGGAAATGGTGAGATGTAAGTGCAAGAAGTAGTGCAGAAGCTGGTGCTGTCTAAAAAAACAACTTTAATGGTCACAGCCGTAGCTTTTGTGCTAAAAATAATCTCCCGTACTATGATTATCAATCCTCACTTTCTTCACACTTACCTTTCCGTTAAATCACTGGTACAATAGTATGTAGAAATAAGTGTTAATTAAAATAATAATAATCATTAGACGTTTAGACAAATACAAGTTCTTTATTTAGTGCTTTCTTCTTATGATATTTTCAACATTAAAATGTATTTAAGCTATTTCAACACATAGATAGTTCAAAATTAATTGAAGAAAAAATACAAATCATGGTAGATTGATGTGCCAGGAACTCTAAATAAATTCTAAAATAATAATCTTTACTTGCTTATGAATCAAATAGTATGAATTCATGGATAAAATAAATATTTTTTTCCGACGCGCAGTAAATTTCGCCCGTTGTGTCCTGAAGAAAAATTTTTTTTCACCTACTTTTTTCGAAAAAAGTACCATACAGTGATATATATTTATAATGCTGATAAATGTAGCTTTCAGGATATATTTTTTTTATTAGATTATCTCCAGTGGTTTAAAAGTAAACGACGTTTATTTAAAAAAAAACTTTTTGGCTTTTGTGAATTTTGCTCAATATTTCTATTTTTTTGTATGAAAAGGCAAAAAGTTTGTTCTAGAAATGAATTCGCCATCCTTTAATTATCTGAAAATGACACCACACTTGCCCTAATACCCATAGTTTTGAAGATATGGGCCTTAAAGTGAAGCGCGGCAGAAGGAAACTTGCCCCCCCTCCCCCTGCTACCACAGGGGGGGCTCCCGATGTCTACCGACGGAAATCTACTCAGGAGCACCCAAAGAACAACTGGTGCAAAAATGAGCCTTCTATACCAAAGTGGAGGGGTGTATAGTACAGTCCACTATGAAAATTAGCTGTAGTCTGTTTCAACTACCTATTTTAAAGATTTTTGTCACTTTCTAAGTTTTGAATTTTATGGAATTGGGAAAGAAGTACCGAGTTTGAAGCGTTCATGAGCAGACATTGCAGTTGAATATTCAAGTTCTGAATTTGATTATTGATGAATAATAAAATAAATCCTACTAGCTCGATTGATGGTTTCATTTAATTTATGTAAACCAGGTTACCTTTAATAATATTTTTTCGGTAATTTATGAAAATATCAAATTAGCCCGTAATCCTGAATCCTGATACATAAATTTAGCCTATTAATTTAACACATGTACGACTGTACTCAGTGTTGCACTATCAAATGCAATTGAGGCGCCTCTATGCCAGGGTTTTTATGTTCCTGGTCAGGCTATACCTACAGAAATTAATAAAGAAGCCTTTTTTACCTAATAATGTCTATTGATGACCTCTGACTTTTTCATTATCAGTATACTTGAGACAGTTTTATGACTCTACAAAAACATGCGACGAGATGTTAAAATGAAATATGACCGAAAATCACGAAGTATGTTTGTTACTTTTTCACGACTTTTCACGGTCAAACTTCTTAAGTATAGGCAGGCATAATTATGATACATGTAAGTAGGTACATGGAAAGGAAACTTCATCTTAGACTGAATAACAAGAATTTGGTAATTCGTCAGCATACAAGTCTATTTTGATCGTGTGTCGACTTTCTATGATAGAACAAAATCCACGCGATCGGAGCCGCGTGCCAGAAGAAAACTTCCTATAAAGTTTAAAGGTCAATACATCGATTAAGAGGCGGCTAGTGGATGCACATCATACTTTTACACAGATGTCTGATCTCTATGCATTTCATTAAAATTGTATTAATTGATATGGCTTGCATTATATTCTTTCTATTGTTCCTACTTCATTTTTTTTTGCTGTGCTATCCATAAATTATTTAGTAAAGTGATACTGTCGCATTAATTTGACTACTAGGTATAACTATAGTTCCTTACATGGAATGTGAATTAGAACCTCCATAATTTTAACATAATTAAATATTTATTTCGTTTTCGCAATGTGGCGTAACTTTAGTTAAACTGATAAAATATAACATAATACATATAATGGCCATAATAACGCTTAAAATATTCTCGATCAGGGAAAATCTTTCGTTCGTTGTTTATTGCTGTCTGATTTCTATATTTAGACAAAATTACCTCATTAGGTATTTAGAAAAACAGTAAACCACTTCAACATTATTTGAACTAAAACACTGTTGTGTACCTTTTCATCTTAATTAAATCAACTTTTGTCATAAAATTTTAAATCGCTCATTAACTATTTAATGGCACTGATGGACATGGGGCAAAGTGGACAGAGAACTTTTAATTTATTGTCCCGGAAGCTATCGTTTATCTTAAGAAATACCATGGAAAATATGATTTATAAATTGGTGATGGGCCTATTAATATTAAAATTAACTGTCAATTAATGAATACCTACTTACTAAATGCGTGCGCGGCATAATGGTTTGTTAGGGCAGGTCTTCTATTCCTAAATATACATTTTGAGTTATGTACTCATTGTAGTTGTAGATAGATACCTAACTAGTTAGTTTCTATTGAGTCGTCGCGACGACGCGTCGTATCTTGTATCGAATTAAATATCCCAAAATGGTCTTTGTTAGGTAACTAATAAGCTTTTAATTAAAGTTTTGCGCACATATGTGCCAATGGTTAACACTTAACAAAGTTCGTAACATATCCACTTTTGATTAACACACTATCGTCCACGTAAAAAGGCGGACATGGAAACTACCAACTAGACGAGTCTACTATCTCTATCACCACATAATAATGATGCACCAATATCTAGTGTCTAGTGGTGCTAGCTCTATAAAATTATTCCACTTCGCCCTCCCTGCCCTCTCCGCCTCTGAAGTCCGATCCGGTCGTACCCTCCGACCACGAGCAGTATTGAGCAGTCACGCGGATCGCGATTGTGTAGCGTGGTGTGGTGTGCTGTGTCAACACGAATGTTACAGTCCACCACCTCTTCAGTCACTTAGGAGACGCCGCCGGTACCACTAGTAACATTACAATAGATCAAAGTATCGAGATTTTGATCTTTAGGTCTGTGAAGTAAATAATAGTTTTTATAATGACAAAAGTTTAGATAAAGTTCTGTTTCTGTTTTGAAGTTGTGTGAAAAGTGCCGGTTCGGGAAAATATAAGGTATTTTTACGTTATTTTATTTAGTTTAATTAAACGATATGTGAAATGAAGTGATTTATTTACTCTCGGAATTTGCGCGGTAGTTTTCCTTTCAATTGATTATGTTATTTTAACAATTTAATTACTTAACACAATATTATCATTTTTAAAGATACTTTTTAGGTGATGAATGAGTATTGATAAGGAATTTTCATTTTGGTGAATTTTCATAGTGCATTAGTGCGATATGAAAAAATCTACATTCCAGCTAGTATTTTGCATTAATTTGGTGGGTCGTTGCCTCGCTAGTTGCTACCCGGTAAGATACCCGACTAGAAACAGTAAAGAACACTTTTTAAAATTTGTTTTTATTATTTTACGTAATTTAACCAGGGGGAAACACTTAAAAAAGACTACCTCAAGCTGCCCTAATCAGGAATCAATTAGCAAGGTTAGTTAATTAAGTACTTATTTAATAGTCTTTTAAGAATTATAAAAAACTTCGCCACGTGCTAAAGAGGCCATAAAATTAACATTATACCTACTTGACTCTATTTTGGGACCCATAATTTATCTGGAATTTAATTTAATCAACAAAAGTTGAGATACTTTACATCGTAGATACAACTTATGCTGATTTATTCGGTTTGTTATAGATGGTTGTCTTTAATAATGGAAAAAACTTGCCAAACAACCAAATGAAGGTTAAATTTATAGGAATACCTACTCGTATATCAATGAACGCGATTAATCTTTCACACAAAAACAATTCGGACTGACATAATAAATTATGAAATAGGCCCTACTCCGCCAAACTGGTTTTCTTAAATCCGTCTCTTTAAACGTACAGAACGAGTAACAAGAGCGCAAGATACATCGAAATCGATTTTCAGAATACACACCGCGGCACCGGTTTTATTTTCGTCTACAATCTAAATGCTTTAAGGCTGTTGGTAAGCAACTTGATTTAGGGATCACATATATCTTTAAAGTTTCATATAGATGCTGAAACTACATAGGACATCTGTAACAGCGAGATCGCCATTTCTTTTTGGCTCTACCAAAGAGAGCTTTGACTGAAAATTTCACAAGTTAAATATCTACTTTGATACTCGTAAGTAGAGGCTTAGGCTAACCATGCAGTTCTTATTAAGTTAAAGCTCTGTAAACTAAATAGGCTCTACCAGACCGTAAGTTCCGCTAACAGAGCTTTGAGTTAAAATTTCATTAGGCTAACCATGCGGTTCATAAATAAGACCTTAGTAACTAAGGCCCGGTTAATGTCCTCTGTTGGCGGCGGTTTCTCAGTTATAATAACATAACAACTTCCGTAATATTGCGCAATAGGTATATGAGACCAACCGCCTAAATCGTATTTGAACGCGATGAAAAACGCACTCGGAAAAAACTCTCTAACTAGTCTAAAACCTCACGTATAAAAAATAACCGACTAAATACTTGAGTGACGACACACGCGAAAGGTTCCGTAAATATCGTACAAGGTGGAAGATTGTAATTTTTCTCAACTCAATATTTTCGTTTCCTTTTCATCATTCTTTTGAATAGAAGTCCTGACATATTATGGTTTATAAAACCGCCCGTTAACAGCGGAGATTAACCAATAGATGTTCCTGGCAGTTTGGCACTTTGATTTATTCCCACCTCTCATTCTTACCGCTGCAACTCCAGCCAGCCTAGCCAGGATCTACAGCTGGACGGCCAATAAAAACCCAACCCGTCAAGATCAAGTTTGTCCCGGGGGAAAGTTTAACTGTCATTGGACCCGCAACGAAATTAATCTGAAGAACAAGAGGAGTTAGAAGTAATGATGATTCAAAAGTAATACCCCTTTGCTCTTGCTTTGCTTTGCGGGGCACATAGATCGGTACTCCTGCAACTAGGTGGACCCACGATCTGGTCGTGCACTCGCGGGAAGTGCCTAGATACGGGCGGCGCAGGACCGGTCTTTGTGAAAATCCTTGGGGGAGGCCTTTGTCAAACAGTGGACGTATTTCGCCTGAAACGAACGAACCCCTTTGCAGTCTGCCAGAAGCTCTCGCCAGCAAGTCACCATGCAGCGGGCAGGCAGCAGCGCGGAGCGGACGCCGCTCATGCAGCCCACGTATATGTTTGAGTCCAGCGTCACGCGCAGCTACGAGCGGCGCCTGCGCCACTTCCAGTGCGCCATCTGCGTTGCCATCATGTAAGTATGCCCAGAATTATGCCAAAGTATATTAGTAGTAAATACATTATGCCAATGAAAGGTGGACCGACGACCTGATAAAGGTAGCAGGAAGGCGCTTAGGAGGGCTGTCGCCGGTGGTGTCGCGGAAGTCTAAGGTTACACTCAGGCGATGACGGAACGCCGCGGAGGTTTTAGTGGGTATACCCCGTCCTTTTCAGGACAGAGGCCGGGAGTACCACACACCACCCTGTCCCCCGGCAGTGGTGACGGTGCAAAGCATAGGACGTACTGTGTATCCTGTGGCTGAAATGATGATGATGATGATGATGATGATGATGAATGAAAGGGATCCCGTAACATGACCAGAGCTTAATGATGACGGCTTTTTTCCCTGAATACCACGTAAACGCAGAAAGATTTTGCAGACTTTTATAACCATGTACGAGTAGCACCATGAGCTCCATCTGCGTTGCCATCATGTAAGTAACATGTTAGAGCTTAATGATGACGCTTAATAGCCTACTTCTGTGAATGTCACGTTGTCAGAGGAAGAGGGACCTTTCATTAAACATTGTATTGCACCAGATCTTTGGTGACTCTACATTTCAATGATCGTAATTTTATCTAGAAGCTTTTCTAGAATTTTTTCTCGATTTCTTATCTTTTACTTAAATCTTTTTCCTCAGAGCAACCCTCGGGATCGCCCTGCTCGTAACAGTCTCCTACAACCTGAGCGAGGACCTAGAAGATGACGACAACAGCACCACCACAACAGTTCCAGAAACAGTGATCCCCGTAGGCAATCTTACGGCGATGCCGCCGTATCTCGCACCCTTGCTGCAGATGAAGTGGCCCTTGGAAGGTAACATTAAAATTCATGGTCGTGGCCATTTCAGCGATAAGATTATTTCATAACTAAATGTTCAGCACTTCAGCTCGCCAGCACTTGATTAAGTGCTGGCGAGTTCTTAAATGGGAACTCTTCAAAGATTTTTGAAGAGTTCCCATTTAAGAACTCCAGATCCATAATCTCCACATATGATGAATTCAGGTCGTGATCCCCCCGAATGGGCAGGGGATCCCCCGTCCGCTGACGACATCAGCACAGCTGTCGAGCACGGGAACACAGCCCTCAGGGAAAGGAGGGCTTTGGAGAGCAACAGAAGACCTCTAGACCAGGACACACCAGCGAATAGAGCTCAGAGGGCAGCTGCCACTTCTGCGGCTGTGAAGCCTTTGGCTGATGCAGCTTATGCTGCAGAGCAAGCTACACGAGCGCTCCTCAATGGGTAAGTTGCTTAATTTGTTAAGACCACAACTTAATCAGAAGCACAAGTGCACAACTATAGCAAACGATGCTTTGGACACAACAACTAATGAATAAGATGTGAATTGACTTTTAAGTTTTACGAATCTTTTTCTAAAATAAATTCTTCCTTCTTACACGCAATCCTTAAAGCAATCGGCCGTAAGTATTAACTCTGTTGATGTGAAACATAACACAACTTTACAATATTTAAAAGTGCCTGAAGCTTTCTCTCGTCGTCTAGTTTTTTATTCCAAACCACAAAATACTCGTAACTACCTAGATCATAATGTATTGCAGCGTATGCAATCTAACGGTTGCGGTTAACCTATTAGTTCATTAGGGAACACTGGCCGACTTTCCGGCGATTAGATCAATTGGCTGCATCTTAGGCCTACAGTTAATAAATTATACAATGCTCTAATACCAGTTACTTGAGCTAGATAGCTGTGACTGACAAACGAGATGACAGACTCTATTCTTTGAAAATTATGTTAAATTAAAAATAAATGTAATAGACCTCAATTAATTTTATTCACCCTAAAGAACTTCACGATTCACTTTAAGTCTACAAGCTTGTATGCCTTCCTAAAGTATGTCTAGCGGAACTTTTTGAAGGAAATTTACAAATTACAACACCCCCGTTCCAATAGTACTTACCTATCTAACATTAATTTGAATCTTATTGCTTTGATCTTAGAATTCATCCACAATTTATTGGAACATGACACCCTAGACTAAACCGCGACACCGGACACTCGTCTGGCTTCGCTCGCCTCAAGCGGGGATAAGTTACCCAATTGACCAAAATGTGGCGATACGAAATAGCTGAAGAGCTATTATTTTACACTGGCTCCAGCGGTTCATGATAGTAACAGATCTAGAAATAATATAAAGATAAGTAGAAGTATATTTTACAAGATCCAATGATTTGATTAGGACTGAAGACGAATGTTTGGACATCGATTTCTCTTTCCCCGTCATCATCCGAATGATAAAAGACTCATCACGATAATGATGATGATCGAGCAGAAATTATAATGCTAACGAAAAAGATAACTTGACATTTGCCTGATATAGATAGACCCAAAACTGGGAGAGAACATCTTAACCGAATTCAAATGAGTTGACACCTTCGATTTTTTTAAAGAGTATTAGTAATTTGGTAGAACAGATACCTAATAAATGTGGCGTACGGGGGAAACATCACTTTTACTTAGTCCAGTCCAGTTGGCTAAGCCGCACCACGGAAGCTATCGGATTTCCCGATCGATACAAATGAAACGTAACTCGACATGGGACCAATCTTCCGGAACATTAATTGGTAGGTACTAGCGATGATATTGATTACAACAGCAATCAATCGCCGGAATATTTTAATGATGCTGTCAATTAAAGTTCGCGCATTGTATTTCACAATATTTTGCAAAGGATTGGAAGAAGGCATCACCTATTTATTAGGTATGTTCACGAATTTGGTGAACATAAAATTGAGTTGGTAAGCATTCTTGAAAAACTTTCTTTGAAAACTAACTAAAATCACTTTATGGAAATGACATTTTCATATTTGGTTAGGGATTTGCAAGTTGAATGAGCTGAATCAATCAGTTTGTCGGATGACTCTACTTAAATCTTTCCGTGGTTCTGAGGGTGTAAGTCGTTGGCTGTATCACATGTCTAAGTCTACAGTAGCTAAAGTTGCTTCAGGATCAGGGCTATCTCACAATTCTTAAGATAAATTAAATAAGTAAGGTACCTTTTCAAAATTAAGAATTAGGTATGTGTTTCAGAACCGACAGCTCCCGTCGCGCAGGCGGAGCAGGGCTGGGTCCTCCCACCAACGGTTCATTCTCGGAGCCCCGCTACTGCCTGCAGGACGCCGGCCCCTGCCCGCCTGACCGTTACCGCAGTCTCGATGGCAGCTGCAACAATCTGCAACACCCTTACCGGTGGGGGGTGTCCAACACGCCTTTCAGGAGGGTCCTACCGGCGGATTATGGAGATGGTAAGTTACCACGACCAATGGCTCGTTCTCCCCCTCGCTACTGCATCAACCACCACTCTTGTGGCGGAGTTTTGGGCTGACAATGTGTAGGTTTGTTGTCGACACGAAAAGAAGAAGACTGCATCAAAAGGATTACAATTACGTCTTGAATAAGTACTTCAGAAAAGGCCACCAGCACCAAGGAAATAGCACATTTTCGAATCTGTTCATTACCATTTCTTTAACTTAATATCTTCATCTTTTGTTTTCTCCAGGAATCAGCTCTCCCCGCACTGGTACAGACGGCGCGAGCCTGCCCAGCGCGCGTGACGTCAGCGTGACGGTGCACCGGCCCAGCTACGCTCACGATACCACCTTCACTGTGATGCTGGCGGTATGGGGGCAGTTCGTGGACCATGACATCACTGCCACTGCTCTGAGCAAAGGTAAGGTAACAGTGCCATTGTCAACAGGCCCGGATAATATTTTTATCACTACCTAACTGCTATGTGACGGTGCGCCGGCCCGCCCAGCTACGTTCACGACACCACCTTCACCGTCATGCTGGCCGTATGGGGGCAGTTCATTGACCACGAAATCACTGCCACAGCTCTGAGTAAAGGTGAGGAGATAACGTCATTTAAGAAAAGCTCAGACACGGGCATATTATCTCCTTCACCGTCGTGGGTATTATAAAACACAATTTTACTGCTACTGATTTGACCAAAGGTATAGCCAGCGTAATTTCTAACACGTATACATACAGGTACTTAGTTCGTGGGCCATGCCATGATATTGGCCATGTAATGATAAGAGAGTTTGTTTCATTGGTGTATTGACACTAGTGGATCTTTCGTCTCGTTTCCTACTTACTCTGAGATTAAAGCTGGAGAAGTTGACAATCAAAATCATGTCATTTACCTTCTGAACCACATGGATATAAACTGCTATTATCAGCTTATCTATGCATCACCCACATAATCACTTACCATGTACCCATTATGAACACCCATTCTTCCTTACATTGCAGGAGCAAACAGCAGCTCCCTGTCATGCTGCGATGAGAGCCAGGAGCCGCACCCCGAGTGCTTCCCGGTGCAGCTGGGCGCGCAGGACCCCTTCTACGAGGAGTACAACCTGACCTGCATGGAGTTTGTGAGGTCTGCACCTGCGCCCACCTGCCACTTCGGTAAGGACTTGAGACTAGATAGGGAGCTAGACGTAGAACAGAGTGAAGCGTCCAGTTCGTTCGTTTCACTCTGTTCTACGTCTAGAAGCGTCCAGTTACTTTAAAATAACCGCTCACTGGCTCCATCTGTGACCCTGTCATCCCCCCCTATGTCGTGCGATTTTAACTCAAAAGAAAGCTAAAGAAGTAAGTTAAAGGCAAATACTGCACTAAAAAGCAAACGCCTTGTAGTTAATCTAATGCAATTTCACGCCCAGACACGTGCTATTGCAAAATATCAGTAAAGTTCGCCTCCCCCTTCACCCTGATCTTGACTTTCCAGTTGCTATCAGATGAGAGACAGGCTTCCTCATTGTGGGTAAAAAATAATCCATTACCAAGTAGCTTCCATAAAATCCGACGTCATTATTTCCAGGGCCCCGTGAGCAGATGAACCAAGCGACAGCCTTTATTGACGGCTCCACCGTGTACGGTTACGGGCCGTCCAGAGCCACACAGCTGCGGGCCCTGACGGCTGGACGGCTGAGGATGCTACGCGACGGAGACCGCGACCTGCTGCCGCAAGCCACCGACCCCAAGGATCCCTGCAACACCCAGCAGATGACTGCGGAGGGCAGATACTGCTTTGAGACCGGTTAGTGCAAATGTTTTTTGCAATTTAGTGAAATGTTAGTCTGTCGAGGCGCGGATGCTTTGAAAATTAAGTTGCAGCAAATACCAATCTATTATGTCCCTATAGCCGATCATCAATAGCTTCTCAAATTAACTTGACTTTTCGTAGGCTTCTGATGATCTTGGCTTTACAAGAATCCGTCAATGAGGAGAACGAGTCTAAACAGTAGTACATTACCTGTGTAGCACCACATTTTCCCAAGTTTACTTGCATTCTTTGTGAACTCACGTTTCAGACAAAATACACTGGTCATCACAAAAATCGGCCCACCTACGTTTTACAGGAAAACTCGTTTCTACTGACACAATCATGGTGCCCCAACAATATTGGTGTCATTTGAAAGCCCAATAAATATCCTTAAAGAAAATCACATTTAATTTCCTAATAAACGATTAACATCCCAACTAATATTATAAATGCGAAAGTAACTCTGTCTGTCTGTCTGTCTGTCTGTCTGTTACGCTTTCCCGCTTAAACCTCGCAACCGATTTTGATGAAATTTGGCATAGAGATAGTTTGAGTCCCGGGAAAGAACATAGGATAGTTTTTATCCCGGTTTTTGAAACAGGGACGCGCGCGATAAAGTTTTTCTGTGACAGACAAAATTCCACGCGGGCGAAGCCGCGGGCGGAAAGCTAGTAATACAATAAATGTGACTTGAAAAACTTGAAAAAAGACCTCACTTTGGGCTCACCTCTGGGATCAATTAGACCAATTTTTATGGTTATAATACCAAATAATGATCTCACGTGTCCTCTTTAACAGATGGATAGCGATTAATCCCAACTTAACAGTTTTATAGCCATAAAAGTTGGCTCAAGCGTAACTACCTATTTTGAAGAAGTGACTCTGGATTCTTCTACAGACACATTTTTGGGGTAAAAACCTTTCCTTTAATGAAATTATTACCATTTAAAAGCCTAGTTCTAAACTTCATTTCATTAAAGGAAAGGTTTTTACCTCGAAAATGTGTCTGTAGAAGAATCCAGAGTCACTTCTTCAAAAAATAGGTAGTTACGCTTACGCAACTTTTATGGCTATAAAACTGTTAAGTTGGGATTAATCGCTAACTATCCATCTGTTAAAGAGGACACGTGAGATCATTATTTGGTATTATAACCATAAAAATTGGTCTAATTGATCCCAGAGGTGAGCCCAAAGTGAGGTCTTTTTTCAAGTTTTTCAAGTCACATTTATTGTATATGTTAATCGTTTATTAGGAAATTAAATGTGATTTTCTTTAAGGATATTTATTGGGCTTTCAAATGACACCAATATTGTTGGGGCACCATGATTGTGTCAGTAGAAACGAGTTTTCCTGTAAAACGTAGGTGGGCCGATTTTTGTGATGACCAGTGTAGTTAACGCACAGTCTTTTTAGCTCAATCATCTAATTTGCTCAAAAAAATAACTGGTTTTTTATCAGGTGACGACCGAGCCAACGAAAACCTCCACCTCACCACGATGCACCTGATCTGGGCGCGGCAGCACAACCGGCTGGCAGCCATCTTGAAGAAGCTCAACCCGCACTGGGACGACGAGAGACTGTACCAAGAGGCTAGGAGAGTGGTGGGCGCGCAGATGCAGCATATCACGTATTCAGAGTTCTTGCCTTCCATTTTAGGTAAGTTTTTTATGCATAACAAGGCAGGTATATGACCGCAATAGCACTTGGTGTTAAGTGGGCAACTAGGATGGTACATATCTGCCCTGTAAGTGCCTATTCACTCTCGCCTTTAAAAGGCCCGGAACCTTGTTCACGCCACCAAACACAAAAAATAGAAGGATTGTAGACTCTCCAAAAACCTTATTCGTTTTAAATACTTTAAGAGTTTCTTCTTTTTGACAGGAAAAGACGTGATGTGGGCATTGAACCTGACTCTCTTGGAAGAGGGATTCTCTGAAGCATACGACCCTTCAGTGGAACCCACTGTCGCTAACCACTTCTCCGCAGCTGCCTTCAGATTTGCACATACCCTTCTACCTGTAAGTTTACTGGTTTTTGTCATTTAAGCAAGAAAAGTAGAGCCACTAGCAGCGAAGCCAGAAAGGTGCGCTTTTATAATAAAGCGGCAAAATACTTTAGAATTTAATAGTTTCTGAATCGCTTAGCACCTTAGCATCTATGAAAGTCAATCTAGCGTTCGAGCAGTGGCGTATTCCAATTATCAAGGTTACGCTCAATTGCCTCAATTTCAAAAGCTGAGCATATCGAAAGAGTTTCCACTATTAATGTCTAGCTTAACTTTCCCCCGGGAAAAACTTGACCTTCACTGGTTGGGTTTTTATTGGCGATCAAGCTGTATATCCTGGCTACACAGGAGTTGCAGTGGTGCGAAAGAGAGGAGGAAATAGATCCGTATCTTAATGTCTCCTAATTCATTTTCCAGGGTCTGATCCACAACGTGGACGCGAGCACAGGCACGATAAACTACGTGCAGCTTCACGAGATGCTATTCAACCCTTACGCGCTGTACTCTCTTCGGGGCCCCAACAAGGCAGTCCGCTCGGCCCTCAACACGCCTGTTCATACCGTCGACCCGCATGTAACTGCCGAGGTATGTAAGCTTAGCTTTATTCTGGTGACCAGTACCAAACGTCAGTAAATTAAAACTCACTTGCATCAAAAGGGACCAGAAGGTTGAGTATCGAATTTTGTCGAATACGCAAACGATTCGAAGACGAAAGTTGTTCATGCTAGAGGTACTGCTCGCATCCTAATCCTACGTTATCAGATTCAATAGAAGGCAAGGCAATGGACAAATAGTATTCTTACTAAAATTTAACCCTCTTGTTTCGTTTACAGCTTAGCAACCATCTCTTTGAGCGTCCAACAACTACCCTCAACACAAACTCATCCGTCCCTAAGAAGCCAGGACCTTGCGGTCTCGACCTGGTCTCCCTGAACATCCAAAGGGGACGGGATCACGGACTGCCCGGGTACCCAGAGTGGAGGGAGCACTGTGGACTGTCCAGACCGAAGAACTTTGAGGACTTGGGGAAAATGTTCGATGACCTCTCGCTGAGCAGGATATGCAAGATTTATAAGTGAGTGTTTCCTTTATTTGTTCAAGATCAAACACAAACCAGATAGGGTAAACTAATAATGCAGGGGTGAATCTAATTGAACAGACCAGATTAGACTTTCTTGACTTAGGTATGTTTGATTTCTGTGACAACAAACTGTTAAAGTAGGATTTTTTATTGGTGTGAACTATAACTCGATGAAACGTGACTTGGTTCACACTGGTATTGTATTGTGTTGTGACGTACTCGTACCTACACAAGGTTAATGTCTAATTTAGCAGTGCATTGACGTGGGCTACATTGGTCACATGATGATAAAAATTCGACGATGATTTTTTCTGAGAAAGCGGAATATTATCGTCTTTATCATCATTAAATGTTTCTAATGCAGGACAGGAGTACGACCCCTAATTTACCAGAAGAAAAGGATGGATTTGGCCTAAATTCCCCACGATGGCGTATTTGGGAGGCTTGATGTTTAAATTTTCTCCGCTTAGTTGCCTTTTTTGATATCCACAGAAAAAGTATAAGAGGTTCACGGAATTTCGATATCCACGGAAATTGTTGAACGATGGTGACACCGCCCTGTCAATGAGTTTGGTGAGATAGTGGTCAAGTTAAGCGCTCCTGGCAGCCATGAGATCACATCGTCGTTCTGGTAGTTCTGGTATGGACGGGAGGTTCGCTGGGAGGTGTAGGGGACATCTCATAGACATGTCATCTTTTCCTTTGTTCTCTAGCAACGTGGACGACATAGACCTGTACACGGGGGCGTTGGCCGAGGACCCGCGCGGGCGACTACTGGGGCCCACGCTCAGCTGCTTGCTGGCCGACCAATTCCTGCGGCTCAAGGTCGGCGACCGCTTCTGGTACGAGACCAGCGATCGGGTCGTCGGGTTCTCGATTGGTAAGTTGGTATGATGCTATAACAGGGGGTTTCACCGGTTCACTTGAAGATGATCTGTCTTGTAACGCTATCTGACAAATGAAGGTTGCTGATTTACCTATCGGTGGTCTAATCGGTGGTCAGATAGGTATAAAAAAAGGTTGTAGTTTAATCTGACGTGTGAGTTTCTAATATGACTTCTAACTTCATGAGTTAGTGGTAAAACTAGCTCTACTTAAGTGTAGCGCTGCAACTTCAACTGAAATACTTTTGCAGTCTAATCATAGTACATAGCACATCGGCTAAAATAACGGTAACGTCATGACTAGACATCGGATTATATGCATTTGCATTATTGCATATGCAAACGCATATAATGCTTTTTTTATAGCGTTATTGCATATTTTGGTACTTTTTCATTGACAGTGCTTATTTTAGTATTTATACGTGTTAGACGTGTTGTACTTCGCCGCCGTCCCCACGCCAAACATCAACACATCGCCCTCGCACGCACTGCGAGCGATCCGTACTAGTGTTGCCAGTCGGGTCTTGTCAGAAATGACCAGAAATATAAAAAAATGTAACCTTTTTGAATAAAAAGTAACCNGTTGTACTTCGCCGCCGTCCCCACGCCAAACATCAACACATCGCCCTCGCACGCACTGCGAGCGATCCGTACTAGTGTTGCCAGTCGGGTCTTGTCAGAAATGACCAGAAATATAAAAAAATGTAACCTTTTTGAATAAAAAGTAACCTTCATACGGGGGGGGGGGGGGCTAAACATCAAATGAATGACCATTCCATGAAGACCTAAAAGTGACCGGTCGTATAAAAACGTTTCCTGGATTTGCGTTTTATTATCGAAAAACATTCGCTAAAATTATTTTTTTTTAACAAACAATAAATCACATTCATGTTTAAATGCAGTTTATGACATAATTTTTAAATTGTCACTATTAATATTTTTTACTATATTTATATTGTCACAAGAATTAATATATTTATATTGTCACAAGAATTACAACCAATAAGTACCTATATAATTAATTAATTATGTATTGTGAAAATAAAGTTAATTCTAATAATGTTTTTTTGATTGTGCATATTTTGTGCATATTTCGCCCTTTTTTAGTGCATATTTGCATGCATATTTTGGCATTTTGATAGTGCATATAATCCGATGTCTAGTCATGACCTTTACAATAATGCTGAATAATGTGTAAAACTCTTTCCGCGACAACACATTCAGCAACAACAGCAAGCGAGCGCGTCATTTCCTATGAAGCATGAACTAATTAAAAACTTTACCATAATTTTAAGAGCAAACATAAAGTACTAGGTCTATTTTTCTAAAATTAAATGGTTCTTCTTCTTCTTCTGTGCCTTTTCCCATTTCATTAGGTCCTCTTCATTCTAAGGCACCAAGACAGTTTGTCTTGAAAGTTAAATGATTCTACTTACTGTGATATTGTCCTTCCAGAGCAACTAACAGAGATCCGCAAGACCACGCTAGCAGGCGTGATCTGCGCCAACGAGGAGTTACTGGATCAGGCACAGCCGAGGGTTATGGAGGCGGTCAGCGCCACCAACCCACTAGTGGACTGCCGGGAACTACCGCAACCTTCCTTCGCGCCGTGGAAGGAGTACGCGCCCTTGAAGAAGAAGACTTAAGGATAGAGAAGCTGCTCGGAACAAACATTGTGACTAACTGAAGAAAGTCCTAGGTTTTAATCGATTATGAGCAAGCACTAGGAGCACTGGTCCGAATGAGGAATACCTAACTCTGACCTAAGTAACTTGTCAAGATTTAAGTAAGCTGAAAATCCACATTGATCGCGCTTCAAGATGGGCTCTCTACCTGCAGTTTATTTACTGATGTATGGATAAATAGATACCTCTATCAGATACCGAGCGATGTCGAAATGTGAGACAATACAAAGTTACCTGATTACTTATCCTTTCCCTAACCCTTCTGCCAACTAGTTCCTTCATAGTAAGTAAAATCAGTAAAATTGACAAAATGCTGCTGAATTTTACTGTAAATAAAAACAATCCAATTAATGATAGTATGAATGACGACAAATTAATTATAATGCGTGTCTGTTTGTTTATGTTATTAATTTATTGCATTTAAATATCTAAACTTCTATAATAAGTACCATAATCTACCCTTCTATTCTCTATTATCAAATGTACCTAACTATTTCTTTAAATAAGTTTAATTTATTAGTTTAATATGAGACATTATAATATGTAAATCTAAACGTAGCTATCCTGCCTACATCCTCATAAGTAGCCATAATTAGAATAATTTAGCATTAATTTTATAGACAGGACAGGACAATAATGATCATTACCTATAAACAAATACTACCTACCTACCTGACGGTAGTCGTTTCTATAAAGTATTGTGTATGAGGTATGAGCTAATTTTTTTACTTTGATAACATAAGCATAATAATATAATTCGTCTTTTCATGACATTAGTGATGAATTAAAGTGTTATTATTAATTCATAGTTTATTTATTTTACCGTAAAAATATGATACGGCACTTCAGTCTAATATTTTTTTACTGTTCTATCCTCTTAACGATGAAGTTTTTGCCTCTTCGCTTGCATCTCACCTGATAGAAAGTGATGATCAGGTCGACGAAGGTGGAAGCCAGCTCCACGATTATAGCAGAAGTGGCTAATGTTTGTGAACCTAAACAAGGTTCAAAATATGCCTAACAAGGGTTAAATAACCAGCCATGTAACTATGACCATGAACTTGAATTTTCTTAGGATAAGTTTACAATCTGGAAGAATAATAATATTGGCAAGGCAATGATGTATGTGCCTCCTACCTATCTAGCTCACAACAGTCCAGTTAAACCAGCTGGCTGACTCATGCCTTAGTAGCATCATAATTTGGCTAGTAGGCGTCTGGCCTTGCTCGTACGACATTTTAGCCACAAATCTCTATTCACATGCTGTTAAAGCTCGTATTTTCGACCTTATGGTCTAGGAGTTACAACCAAAACATTGATCAGATAAGTTGGTTAAACGCATAATAAGGATCTATAGCTTATGTCAGTTGTTGGCGTCCTATGCAAAGGATCTCTCTTCCGTGTTTATAACGAGTAGGTATTTAAGTAGGTACATACATACATACCTAGTAACCTAGATAGTGTCATTACAGGTAGGCAAACAATTGATTTTTTGTTTACGCGATGCAGGCGCGCAACTTCGAGCGATTGGAAATGAGGTTATCAGTTTGATAGTCAAATTCTCTGATTATTTAAGTAGGTGTTGCCAAAAACATTACAACAAAAAAACGTTAGCCGTAGCCGTAGGTATTTAGGTGTGTATTTTTATTGGGATAATAAATTCAGAAAGTAGATAGGTAAGTAGGTAATCGTCGCTCAAAATTAAAAATGAGTTTTCCAAGTCAAATAACATTTTGGACACCGCAAAATTCGGTGGTCACTCGCAAAGATGCAACCAAGGACTCCAAGGAGATTAAGGCCATACCTAACCACCGAGGTGAAAATGCTTTCCTAAGAACACTACTCTACCAATTTATGCTTCATTCATGCAGCTATCTATTAGATAGGTAGGTAGATTACTTTCCAAATCTCAGAGGCAAAATCAACGGCACGCGTCTCTTTTGTTTTGCCGTGAATGTTCAATGAAATCAATGAACCATCATCTAGCATCATCATGCTATTCTTAGTTCTCTGCAGTAAATAAATAATACCTATGTGTTGATAAAGTTAAGCAGGAATCAGTAGGTAGCTCTTATTGTAATGAAACGATTCCACTCTTCATTGTGATTCTAGATAGAGGACCAAGTTTTATTTAAATTATAATCTGAAGGCGACAACACTGCACCCACGCATCAATATGAATGAAATGATCATTATGCATGCATGTATGTGCATAAATAGGCAGTTATACAAAAAACTACTGGATTATTGATTGATTTGTGCTTCTTACATCTTATTCGACGACTGTCAGATACATCATCTACCTACCTACCAAGTAGGCATTACCACAGAATAAGTGTCACTAATCTGAGAATAAAATTCTGATTATGTAGGGGTACCTACCTCAGAGGCAAATGAATGGACCGGACTATCTGCCCGTCAACTAACAACAGATGGGTGCAATGCAGATGGCACTAATAGCTACTTACTTACTTATGCTATGCATGCTTAGATGCATGCTTAGATTAATAAAACCTAATTATTAATCTAAGTATGCATGCAATGGAAATGCACTATCGTATCGTTTGTTTGTATTGTATTGTAAGTACTGACTAGAAATACATTTCTAGGGAATGCTTGACGAACGTGATCCTGGATCTGTCCAATATGATTCTAATTGATCAAGCTAGTAAATCTCGCATTACCATAACTACCTAAACTCGATGCTTATCTGTGTATGCCACGTGCCGACATCGATACGACCGCGTCATATCTTCGCTGCGGTGTCAACAAACAAATGGATGGCTTTCCAGAAGCTTCGATCAGTTTTTATCTTGCACGTGAGATATGAACTGCTACAATGCCCAATCCGTCTGCAGTCAAAGACCCAACAACTATCCACGACTCTATTTCTAGATAGATGTAACTCAAAATGCAACAAAATAGATGCCAAGCGCCTTGGCGTCAAAACACTTTACAGCAGTCGTGCATTTGGCAAATACAACAGATGTTGAACGAAACAAAGTCGCTCTAAATGTTAGCGAGAAAAAACTGATGTTAATATTTTTTCTCACTTGCCTTCTAAATACATAGGTAGTTATGGAAGCCAAAGCAATAAATGGAACACCCGATATGGATTTAGAGGACAAAATACTAAATACGACAAATAATGCGATAAAAATAAATGTTCACACTTCTACAACTCCACCATCTGTAGGGTAAGTGCGCTAGTTTTCGTCCAATTATCGGAGTTGCCAACTTTGTGATGCGAAATGAATATCTTAAAAAACCCTTACTCATATGTATAATATGTCATTTTAGTCCTTATATAGTCTTCTTTACGTTAATATTATATGACAATAAGTAAATACCACGGGTTTTTTTATAAAAAATATTTTATGCAAAAGAGGCGATTTCACTAGTTTTCGTCCAAAAAAATCAGTTTTCGTCCTAGTGTAAGCTAGTTTTCGACCACTGTGTAGAAAAAAGGGTGCAGTTGAATTATTAACTTAAAACCAATTCTAGAATACAGTAACTATGAATTGTGGTATATCATTTGAAAGGTAATTTTGTTAGCTTTCAAATGATATCAAAAAGATTTAAATAAGTTTCTTACCT